CGGCAACTACATATTATAAAAATACGTTAACGGTTATTATGGCCTTCAGTTCCCGCTGTTTTAAGTATACCTAAGGTAATTTATAATTCTTTTTAGTCAGACAACAAAAAGGAGGACAAATTAACATCCGGCTCGAGGTAGCGCCGGACGGAAGACAGAGGACTCAGAAGCCGGACGTCTGACCACCCTAGCCCGGCCGCGCCACCTTCGATAATTAGCTAAGTGTTTCAAGGGTCTTTATCGTCACGTACATCCTTACTACAGACGTGACACCTGGGGGCACCACACACTCGTTTATCCTCTTTAAGTTATATATAATTTCAGTCATTAAAAAATAATTCGAATACTGACGTGATCGTTCATGATATATAAATTAGGATTTTTTTCATATGTGTTTACACAGTTCGAAAATCTTCGTAGTGATTCATATTTCATATCATTTAATCATAAGTCTTAGTAGAGATTATCAGGCACTCAGAATGGGTACTCGAGGCCAAATGAACTGGTGCCCTGTTGTTATACTATAAATACACAAGAGGTATCCAGTATGGTGACGACGGTGTGTGTGTGTGTGTGTGTGTGTGTGTGTGTGTGTGTGTGGTCAAACATGGTGCATGAGAGTGAAAACACTTTGTGATATAAGTAACACTTACTATCAACAGAAGTTTCTCACATATTGACAATGTTTGGACCGTAATTAGTGCCACACTGCATACCAGGATACATACCTGTTGTGAGGCATTATATGACACCTTGGGTCTTGGAGGACGTCTTGCTTACAGCTTCTCATCTTTATACCAACTTTCTGACGAGTTTCTCCGACATATTAAGAACCAAGTCATTAATTTAACTGGAAGGTTGGCTGAATAAAACCAAATATGAACATAACATCCCTGTATTTGATATAATATGCGAGAGTATTTACAAACATACACTTGGAATAGCGAGAATCGTGTGTGTGTGTGTGTGTGTGTGTGTGTGTGTGTGTGTGTGTGTGTGTGTGTGTTCATTTCTGTTTAAACCCCACAAGTAACCAACACACATATACACATTTATTTATATCCTTTATTATAGAACAACCAATACTATAATAATACTATTGACGTCAAAACCTGGAGATACAACACTCTATTGAGCCTAACACACAGAGTATAGTGTTTGTGTTAGCCTGTACACTACCTCCTTATAGAGAGTGTACTGTATGGTGGGCACTGTAGGCGGGACCCACTCTTGGTATACAGTGCTGTATGGAGAAGGAGAATGGTAAGGGTGATGATGAATGGTGTGATGATGATAGTAATAATGATTGATGATGATGATGATGATGAATGATGAATGATGATGGCGATGATGATGAAGAATGATGAATGATGTGATGATGATGGTGATGATGAATGGTATGATGATGATAGTAATAATGATTGATGATGATGATGATGAATGATGAATGATGAATGATGATGGCGATGATGATGAAGAATGATGAATGATGTGATGATGATGGTGATGATGAATGGTGTGATGATAGTAATAATGATTGATGATGATGATGATGATGAAGAATGATGAATGATGATGGCGGTGATGATGAAGAATGATGAATGATGTGATGATAGTAATAATGACGATGTGATGATGATGATGATGATGATGATGATGACGGTGTTGATGATGATGATAAATTCACTACAGAAATACAGCCATATACAGTACAGTAGAGTATATCATTAATACAGGGGTATAATTACAAGGTATATATACTGTATATCCCAATGGTATATAGACAATGTACTGATTGGTGTATCCTGAGCACCTCAACACACTATGAGAGAACAAACACTTACTGCAGATGTGTGTGTTGTGTTGTGTTGTGTTGTGTTGTGTTGTCCAATACACTATTGTCTCCTTTCATCACCCACACTTTTAGTACTGTTGATCTTGATAATTAATTAGTGATGAGTTCGTTAGTTTGTATCGACCTACAAGAGTTACTGAAACAGCCATTAAGTTTGGTGTTTATTGTAGCAGTTAACAGCTTCAGCATAGTTATAAATTGACTGCAGTGATACGTATAAAGCAGAGTTTGTTTACCAAGGAATTGTCTAGCATTGAGTTTCCTATACTGCTTATTAGTATCATGACTTGTTTTTAGCCTAAGTGTAAACCAGTAGAGACACAGTAGTTGTCAACCTTGGCAGATGTTACATAATTCAACGTGGAGTTCTCTGGTGGGTGTCAGTACCGTATGTCTTCACTGTTATCCGTGTTATCCCGTCTACTTACCAACTCTCCACATGATGTTTATAAACTACTTCTGTATGGCGTCAGTAGAGGGAACGATGGACGCCATGTTATTAGCTAAACAGTATAGCAGCCATGTTCTTCACTACTTCAAACCAACTTTAACCCACCGCATTAAACACTGTACAAGGTGGGCTAAACTAATCCATTTTCACTCCCGCTTGAGACTCGTACACCACCCACGTCGAACTACTGTACTCCACTACCGGCTATTGTCTTGTTGGTTATGTTAAAGCGTCGAGGATATTTTACTAGATATATTGGGCGTCATTCTGTGCGGCTGATATCTGATAGTTACAGTATATAGTAACTCTTCCTAGCACTAGAAAACATAGACAGGGAAGCCTCTGTTATTGTAGTAATCTGCTCTCACTTTAAGGCTAGAATATACACAAGTTGTTGCTGTTATGATAAGTTACTACGCTTTAATAACCAAGGTCTTTCTGTGTGTATTCTAAGGTAGTAAATACACTAAGATCAGTAAGTACAATAATTCAAAGACGGATGTTGTGACCCCTTTATGAACCCGGACTGATCATCTGCCGTGTGGGTGGTGGAGCCCCTTCGTCAAATATTTTGGACAATATACTGTAGAGATTTTCAGTTAGAGGAGGGTCTTCACCGTGATGCTGAGGAGAGGGATTAACTTATATATTGATGATGATAATAAGAATATCGATAAACGGATAACATAACACAAGCATAAATCATTAATGAATCGAACACAAATTTATCACTTATTTCCCATTGTTGGAAAATATGACAAGAGTTGTAGTGTGATGTGGCAGTAAGGTAGGCGGAGACCAGGAGGGTGGTGGGCTCTTCCTTTCAGTTTCACCTGTAAGTGCAGACATGTAATTTCCGCAATGGACTTTTTCAACGCCTAAACAAGAGATTTAGTAAACGTGTTGAGTAACGCGCTGCTCGTCACTGCAAATTTAGACTCACCAAGTCTCATATTGGGTTTGTTATTTCAGTTGTTAGATGTAAATGACCTGAACTAGTCCCAGTTTCAAAGGAAATATACAGACCTGTTAAAGACGACTATCAAAGGATGAACTAGCAAAGTCTGTTACGGGACCTGTGTTTAGTGTGAACCGCTACCGAATGTTAGTCTTGTAGGATTTTGTCAACGATCAGACATGTTGTACCCAAAGCTGCAACATTTAGACGTGACAGAAACATCTACTGAAGACCGAGTTTCCTTCAGGTGTTGATCAAGCTGGGTGAGTCAAAGCGCTACGACACATGTGTACAGTGTCCATCACCTAAGTTGCCCCCAGTTAATCAACCTGCAATATCCTGTATATGAAAACTTCTATAATGTGCCATAAAATTCTAAGTGAAATTTTTAATGACACCGTGAAAAGTTTTACATAAAGCCAAATCCTTTGTTTAATGTGCCATTAATTTATAAATTAGTGATTCTGAATCTTTTTCGGTCGGCGTACCCCAGACGTCACGTACCCCACACGTCACGTACCCCACACGTCACGTACCCCACACCATCACGTACCCCAGACCATCACGTACCCCAGACGTCACGTACCACTCCCAATGGTGACTCGGCCATATTTAGTTTTATTTCTTTAATAAACAATGTAGCTATACTGTTAGTTACTTGGAGGATACTGTACACATGGCATTGTCTGTATACTGTAGTGTATTATACCTTTGGCATCTCGAAACGTACCCCTGATAGGCTTCACGTACTCCCTGATAGGCTTCACGTACCCCCTGATAGGCTTCACGTACCCCCTGATAGGCTTCACGTATCCCCTGATAGGCTTCAAGTACCCCCTGATAGGCTTCACGTATCCCTCGATAGGCTTCATGTTCAGTTGCCCACAGGTATAGTATAGTGTTCCACCTCTCGGTAACCTTCCGAACATGTGACCAACAATATATTTTTTCCGGTAATATTTGTACTCGAGGTTTGTGCCGAGTGATATGATAGATGTAGTATCTATAAAGAAGGTTCAACGATGATTCCTACGGTGCCACATGTTCGGAAAGGCCAGCGAGGGTTGGACACTGTACAGTGTACATGTGGCCAACTGTACCCGGCCTGGTTCTGTACCGTTGTTTTAAATCAGAATAACAATATGTAACCTGGAGATCTAACTCTCAGCCCAAATCTGTGGACAATGTGGCATGGTGCTGTGAATCAGTCAATAATGTGGGACACGGACACTATAACGACCCAGACGACTTAATGAAAACGTATGCATACAGTATATATCACTACCTTGTCAGCTGTGGCCTCTAAATTGAGACATAAATAAAGAAGTTGGTCCCATGGCCATGACTACCTGTTAGGAACACTGTAGATACTGTATACAGCACAGTGAATAATAAGCCTTCGGTACACCAGCTGATACTGCACTTGATCACCTTCACTTTCCCAACTTGTATTGTTAGGTACTGTACCTATTGACTGTTGAGTGGACTTGGGGAGCTCTGATATTGAACCAGTGACCCTTAGGACATGAGGCAAGGGCTGTATCCACTCGGCGGCCGCACAAACAGAGACAAAAGTGAACCGTTTTATTAGCAGCTAAACTTTCTTGAGTGTTGTTATTGTGGGTTGTGATTGGTTGTTGACGAGTGCACCTTATAGACATCTTAAGATAATCAATACGAGTTTATATTTATATTCATTATTACAGAGAAAATATGATCAAGTTTTATAAGTCAACTTTTATTCGTATCGCTACGCCTCGGAAATAAAACACAAGTCTACGGTCAAACACGTTTATTTACGGAAATACTCACATGTTTACAGATAACATTGTTTGGAAGAGGGTCATCACCTCCTCCAGTGGTTGTCTAGCTACAACGTGTTAAAGTGCTCACGAGTTAAGGCGTTACAAAAGACAAGTGTTGACCCCGAATTGTGATCTGATGTGACCTGGACAAAAGGTAAACAACGCTACATTATGGATTGAGTTTGTCATCTTATTATATCACACATCTCCATCGACCTTGTTCTTGATCAGTCGAGGAGGTCCAGTAGTATGAAGTGCGAAAAATAAACCAACAAATAATCGAGAATCTGGTCCCCCAAAACAGATCCTGAGTTTGGAATATAATGTGTTCAGTCTGCACGCGCACACACAAACACACACTGTAAGACACGCACACACACACACACATGTACACACACCCACACATTAATCTCTCTTAATAACACCCTGGGACTACATCACGTATCGTTACATAAGTCCCTTAAAAAAAAAAAACTAGGATTCAAGTTTATCAAGATGTCACCCCAAATTATGTATAGAAAAACATAGTCAATATAATCACATAAATCATCTTAAGTACTAACCCATTTTCTTCCTCATGGTGTCATTCATACCTGATAATAATCCACATTTATTATTTTTGATGATATGCTAATTATCTTATATAGTTATAATATAGGAGAATATATCCTGAATATCGTTGGCTGGGTTTGGTTACATTATATTTGACTTCGTTCAGTGTTGTTAATATAATCCAGTTTCCTTGTGTTTATTGCCATTTTATTATGTTATGTCCTATTTCTATATCATTCTCTATAGCCAGGTACTTAATTATTATATTTTATCACTTCATTATTGTTGTATCACGTGATAATTGCTGTCTGTTAAGGATAATTTATAATCTCAACAAAATATCCACAAAATATCCATAATTGATGGTTATATAACGGTATAAGGTTAAGTGATAATTTTCGTTAACTAGATGATAATTTTAATAATAGAATAAACGTAAGTATTTAATCTCAGCGGTCATATAATTGATAAAATTTTAGTAATAGATCCAGTAATCAGATTCTCCGGAGTATAACCCTGATGTAAATTGACTTTTATTTATCGTAAGTAACACAGACACAGCGATTGTTGTTAAGTGGAGAGTTGAGCCTTGTATGCAGGGACCTTCTAACCTTAACGCACCCGAGGAACATTATAATGGTGCAGGAAGTCAGTGTTTAATTTATATGGTGAGATAATGAGGTTTTTAAGACGGGTGAGATAGAAGTATTAAAGAACTTATTTCTAATAGCACCAGCCAGCTCTATGAATTCCAATCCTGACTGACTGACTGACTGAGGTACTGTAGTGTTGGGATAATATTTTAGTGAGCGCTCATTAAACTTCTGTAACATCATCATATACAATGAAAAATGTCACAATAATATAACAATATTTTTTATGATAATACTGAGTTAAAGATGAGACGTAGTAGTAATGATTTGTATAAAAGTACAGAGCTATAAGTAAAAATATTTATTAATTGACTAGTACGAGCTCTTGGTGGTACAGTATGGTTAGTCAGCGTGTATGGCAGTCGTATAATCACTATTGTTAACATGAGGAACAGTAAATTATAAACTTGCACTGACACAGGTTATGATAAGTACACACAGTCAATAAAGTATCTTGACAGTTTTATCTGAGACAATGTGACGCAATGGATGAAGGATTTTGACAACCCTACCGAGACAACAGGAGTCACAGTGTTCATTGTGGAATTCATCGACCCTCCGCGAAGATACTTGGTGTGTGTACCGAGTTAAGACTTGTTTTTAGACTTTCCTGACTTACTGATAAAAGTTTGATGCTAAAGATAATTATTGTTTGTTCAATTGTGGCTTAAGGTAGCCAGTGACCAGGTGTTTGTTCCTCTCCCTGCTGATACAACCAACAGGTGAAGCATTGTTATGGTGAGCAGTGCCAAGTACAGGACAGGCGGGGGATAAGCGCGCATCAGAGGACCTTCAACATATATCCTTATTTATTATTATTATTTCTTAAGTTTGACATAAAACAGCAAATTATCTTATATATATTAATTTCTTATACCTACATAGGGAACGAGAGTCGTGTAACTCTCACTACGATATAGAAAATACTCTGGTCATCACAGTCTTTCACTCACGGCGATAATTTCTTTGATATGTGAAACAGATTTTTTTTCCTTATAAATCTATGATAATTGTTTAGCTAACGACATGTGGCAACAGTGAAGCGACATTCATATACACAAGACACCGAAAGCTTAACTTGGGTCCTTTAAAGATTCATACCGTGTGCCCCCTCTTCTCCCTCTCTCAAGCTGAGGATGACAGAACACAAATAGATATAGTCTCAACGATACTTGGGACACATTTAAACCATCATCTATCTCGAACTTTAAGTAAACCAGTTTTAATGCGCTCGAACATCTTCAGTTAGAGAGGAAATTTGGATGCACGAACTTTTTTAAGATTATTCAGTTGACAACACTCATTGGTGGCCAAATATATGAACAAAAATATTCCAAAATCCTTCACCAGCTCCTATTATGTACTGCAACTGTAGACGGATATTAACACCTTCATTAAGTTCTGTTTCACCGAGGAATCATTATGACTTAAGGTTTCCAGATACTGTACTTAAGTCATAGGGTGATAGCTTAACTGGTTGTACTGTAGGTCTGACAACTGATATTTTTTAAGAGAGAGAGAGAGAGAGAGAGAGAGAGAGAGAGAGAGAGAGAGAGAGAGTTGATATATGTTAACGATCAGAAACATTCACATTAGTAGAACCTCATCATTTAGTGTTCAATAGTCTCATCATACCACAGATGAAACAGGATCTCCTCATGGTTATATCAATCTTTAATGGGATCCCTTTTCTTGTAATATCGGTAAAAAAAAAGAAAAAAAAAGTAGCAACAATACATTTTTTTACTCTCTAGATCAGAAAATTCAATAAAGAAGTGATTTGTATGTTTGATTGGCTTTAGTTTTCAATTTTAAGGAAAATACCTGACACAAATCTATTGTTTATTACTCGCTCCACAAAATGTCTTTACGATTTTGTGTGAGACAATATGACTCAACGGACGAAGGATTTTGACAACCCTACCGAGACAACAGGAGTCACAGTGTTCATTGTGGAATACATCGACCCTCTCCGTGAAGATACTTTCTGGGGGGTGACTGTACAATCAAACATCTAGTCACAAAAAGTATGTATACCGTAGCTCCTTTAACATCACTAAATAATTTAACCCAAAGCGATTATCTTCAACATTTTGGTCGCTGGATTTTGTGTATTCCTTCTCATTATTAACATTTATCTCTCTGTTATTTTCATTGTTTATTCTTTTCTTTATTTGTTTGGTTTTTGTTTTACATCGGTGACGCTAAGTTTGTCTTCATGAGCAATTCATTTTTCTGTGTGTTTGTCATCACTAAAAACTGTGTTATGTAGCTTTATTTGTTCATCACTACAGCTTGTTCATCACTATAGCTAGATTGTTCATCACTATAGCATATTTGTTCATTAAAGCAGATTAGATCATTACTATAGCTAGATTGTTCATCACTATAGCATATTTGTTCATCATTATAGTAGATTAGTTCATCACTATAGCTAGATTGTTCATCACTATAGCATATTTGTTCATCATTATTGCAGATTAGTTCATCACTATAGCATATTTGTTCATCATTATTGCAGATTAGTTCATCACTATAGCATATTTGTTCATTATAGCAGATTTGTTCATTATAGCAGATTTGTTCATCACTATGGTTAGATTGTTCATCACTATAGCATATTTGTTCATCATTATAGTAGATTAGTTCATCACTATTGCTAGATTGTTCATCACTATCGCATATTTGTTAATCGCTATACCAGATTAGTTCATCACTATAGGTATATTGTTCATCGCTATACCAGATTAGTTCATCACTATAGGTATATTGTTCATCACTATACCAGATTAGTTCATCAATATAGGTATATTGTTCATCACTATACCAGATTAGTTCATCAATATAGGTATATTGTTCATCACTATACATATATGATTAAATCACTATACAATTACTTCTGTTTCCATCTGTTCTACTCTGTTGTTGCCGTTCATCTACCTGTTCTACTGTTGTTGCCGTTCATCTACCTTTTCTACTGTTATTGCCGTTCATCTACCTGTTCTACTGTTGTTACCGTTCATCTACCTGTTCTACTGTTGTTACCGTTCATCTACCTGTTCTACTGTTGTTACCGTTCATCTACCTGTTCTACCGTTGTTGCCGTTCATCTACGTGTTCTACACTTGATTGCCGTTCCGTTCTTCGGGTACGGAACGTGTGGAAGAAGAATAGTAGGAGCCGTTCTTGTACTGTGTGGTCAGTGCTGTGTTCCCACGATGTTCACGTTGAGGGATCTGTCTGCCGGAAGAGAACGGCACATGAACGTAAGGCAGATGGCAGCTACACAATACACCAAGAGAAGTTAAATAGACTAAAACTACTACACACAGATAGAGACAATGATAAAACTGATAATTAAGAGAAATACAACAATATATGATTAATTAAAGTACAACTACGTAAATTAATTAAGTAGAATACAGCAGCACATGATTAAATGATTCTTTTCCTTCTCTGTCTCTCTCTCTGTCTAGTTCTGTCCCTCTGTCTCTCCTCGTCTTTGTTACGTCACAGTGGAACACACGGACAGATAGACAGATACGTATAAAAAAAAGCAAGCGTGTTTTGTACAATGTTCAATAAGTGAGCATCGACCCTCAAAATTCCATGAATATTTCACGAAATTCTTCCCTGAACGAGACTCTATATAAATGAGAAAATGTTGGGTGGTATTTTTACACATGGACCCTGGACCCCGTGTCTTCTCGATACAAAACACAATACAATCTTGCCAGCTGTGTATAAGTTGAGTCTTGGTAAACCCCAACACGGTACTGTATCTGTCAGAACATCTTTGTTTTAGTTAATTTCTGTGTTTCGGTCCTCCAGCTTTAAGCCACAGGTCACGTTTAGGCCAAATTGGATTTTACAGTCTTGACCTTTACAGACGGTGAACAAGGCGGTTCCAGGCGTAGTTATATATTGGTTTGTTTGTAAAACTGGGTAATTTATTACTGATAGGATACTTTTTGGATACTATAACTAGCTCGGAAATACGTGAGTTAAGCTATAATATATAGAAAAAATCACAACACAAACCTAACCTAACTTCACCTAACCTAACCTCACCTCACCTCACCTCATCTCACCTCACCTAAACAAAGTTCAGGTATACAGTACTTGGATTGTGTTTTGATGATAAAATAGTCTTAGGTAGAACAGTGGAAATTTTCTCTTATGTGAACGAATTTCTAAAAACTTAAAGCCCTAAAAACAAAAGAATTATTCCGTTTGTCAAAAGCGTCAGTTGCGTTTTAAGACTTAATTGACCAATTATCCCTAATGAGCGTAACACACATACTCACTTTACCTCCAACAGCGAGGGCCGACCCTCTAACACAGGGTAGGAGTGCTTACAAAACAACTTGCTTATTTCATCGGTAAAATTCATTTCACTAATGTATCACCATCACCTCACATTATTATAACTGACTTAGAGCCGATTTCACAGTCTCAGGTGTTTGTTCCGATACTAACCAACGAGCCTTCACTCTTCTTTTTCCAAATTCACAGCTCGTAAACCAAGAAAATGACGATAGTGAAGGCGAAGAAGTTTGTTTGCATCGAGGCTTACCATGTTGGGGAATAAATTGGTCTGCAATGCTTACTCGATATTTGCTGACAAATCAGTGAGACCCTTTGGTCCTCCTCAGAAACACTCCTCTAGTCCAAATCGCAAGAAAAAGTACGAATGGAATGTTATTTCTGGTCCGTATGTCAAAGAACTACGATATGGTAACTTTTAGTTGTTAAATGGAAAAGATTCCCACACTTCCCTGACGCTCTCTGTAAGACGATTGTACAGTCGTCCGCACTTATACCTGGTACAGTATTTGGTGTGTTTTGTGAGATTTGGCAGCTCTGTGTTTGTTTACATGGTATTAAGGAACCTCGCAATAGTAGGCGTTCCACTACAGCTGCAAATTTTTCCCGCCGATACCGAGACCGATCTGAATGGGGACTTTCCTGTCCTATGGTGCTGTTTTATGGGCATTAGCACATATAGTAACTATATGGAAACCAAAATCCTCATTTGAGCAGCACGGACCTTGACGTTTGCCCTTCTCGCGTCAGTGTATCCCTTATTACCTAGACTGTATAATGAGACACCGTCATTCTGCCAGTGTATCCCTTATTACCTAGACTGTATAATGAGACACCGTCATTCTGCCAGTGTACCCTTATTACCTAGACTGTATAATGAGACACCGTCATTCTGCCAGTGTACCCCTTATTACCTAGACTGTATAATGAGACGCCGTCATTCTGCCAGTGTATCCCTTATTGCCTAGACTGTATAATGAGACACCGTCATTCTGCCAGTGTATCCCTTATTACCTAGACTGTATAATGAGACGCCGTCATTCTGCCAGTGTATCCCTTATTACCTAGACTGTATAATGAGACGCCGTCATTCTGCCAGTGTACCCCTTATTACCTAGACTGTATAATGAGACGCCGTCATTCTGCCAGTGTATCCCTTATTACCTAGACTGTATAATGAGACGCCGTCATTCTGCCAGTGTATCCCTTATTACCTAGACTGTATAATGAGACACCGTCATTCTGCCAGTGTACCCCTTATTACCTAGACTGTATAATGAGACACCGTCATTCTGCCATTGTACCCCTTATTACCTAGACTGTATAATGAGACGCCGTCATTCTGCCAGTGTACCCCTTATTACCTAGACTGATAATGAGACGCCGTCATTCTGCCAGTGTACCCCTTATTACCTAGACTGTATAATGAGACACCGTCATTCTGCAGGTGTACCCCTTATTACCTAGACTGTATAATGAGACGCCGTCATTCTGCCAGTGTACCCCTTATTACCTAGACTGTATAATGAGACGCCGTCATTCTACCAGTGTACCCCTTATTACCTAGACTGATAATGAGACGCCGTGATTCTGCCAGTGTACCCTTATTACCTAGACTGTATAATTATAAAGATGACAAAAGAACGAAGTTTATATCGCTCTTACGTCACTCTCTTAAGTTAATTACTCAGTCTGGACCGATAAATAAAATTCTCTATTTTTGACAACGTAGAGTTTAATAAAGAAATTGTAGTTAGAGTATCAGTCGCCCCAGTATATTTCATACAACTCGTGGGCAAATTTCTTTTTCTGCCACTAACTGAAGGGCAAAGGTAGTGGTTTAATTGCTTTCTTGTGTGTGTGTGTGTGTGTGTGTGTGTGTGTGTGTGTGTGTGTGTGTGTAACAGTATCCTCAATAACAGGTCCACCACACCACTCACGTTGATGTTTAGATTAGATATTATACAACGTTGAAGTGATTTAATTTATAAAATAACAACTTATCAGAGTGTTGACGTGACATGTAAGGTTGAGATTAATAAAGGATGGAATGTTACCAAGGCTTGAGTTGATGTGATGATGGACGGATAGAGTTTACAGGTAACAAATAGACAAGAGAAGCAGGAGGAGGAGAAGGAATGTTTAGGATTAATAAGTTTGTTTGAGTAGGCAGGTGGTGTGTGTGTGAGGGCAGGTGCTCTGTGTGTGGGGCAGGAGTGTGTGTTTCTGTGTGTGTCTGTGGGGCAGGTGGTCTGTGGGGCAGGTGGTGTGTGGGGGCCAGGTGGTGTGTGGGAGCAGGTGGTGTGTGGGGCTGGTGGTGTGTGGGGGCAGGTGGTGTGTGGGGCAGGTGGTGTGTGGGGCAGGTGGTGTGTGGGGCAGGTGGTGTGTGGGGCAGGTGGTGTGTGGGGCAGGTGGTGTGTGGGGCAGGGTGGTGTGTGTGGGGCGGGTGGTGTGTGGGGAAGGTGGTGTGGGGCAGGGTGGTGTGTGGGGCAGGTGGTGTGTGGGGCAGGTGGTGTGTGGGAGCAGGTGGTGTGTGGGGCAGGTGGAGTGTGGGGCAGGTGGTGTGTGGGGCAGGTGGGTGTGGGGCCAGGTGGTGTGTGGGGCAGGTGGTGTGTGTGCAGGGCAGGTGGTGTGTGGGGCAGGTGGTGTGTGGGGCAGGTGGTGTGGGGCGGGTGGTGTGTGGGGCAGGTGGTGTGTGGGAGAGGTGGTGTGTGGGAGCCCGGGTGGTGTGTGGGGCCAGGTGGTGTGTGGGGCCAGGTGGTGTGTGGAGCAGGTGGTGTGTGGGGCAGGTGGAGTGTGGGGCAGGTGGTGTGTGGGGGCAGGTGGTGTGGGGCAGGTGGTGTGTGGGGGGCAGGTGGTGTGTGGGGCTGAGGTGGTGTGTGGGGGCGAACCATATCTTTAGAATTCCTGGTAATCTGAGAGGCAGCGGCGAGTTACCTGAACGTGTTATTAAATTCCGTGTTCAGTTCACTTTCCTAGCGGAGCCATCGAGTGGGCCGAGACAGAGAGAAGAGTTTGAGAGACAGACAGAGAACATGGGTGTAATAGTGAGAGAGAGAGAGAGAGAGAGACCCCATATACAGTACAGTAAGAATGAATTTGCGTCTCTATCTACCTATGATAATAACATGTAAGACTATTTTACACGTGATCATTACAGAAGAAATTCACATTTGTTGGACAAATACGTAAGGGGTCGTGTTTACTTGGGTGTTATTATTACTTCCTTTCGGTTATTTTCATCGTTAATGTGATTTTTGTCTCGAGTTTATTGGTCCTTCCATATTAGCACGACACAGATGAATGACAAGAACATCTTATTTGGTTTGCTTTTATGGGCGAGTTATCCATCCCACTTTTGCTTTAGGTGAACGTGGATGAATATTTTTTTTTCTATGGATCGTAAAATGTCCTCTCTAGCCCATCGTTTCTCTTTCTCTAGATCTCTCAGTAAATGTGGAGGTAATCTTGCACTTTACCAGAAACATTCTAGGATACCTCCATAATCTCACGCTGGTTGGTACAGAGCTGCCTCACTCTCTCTGATTCTCTCTTTCTCGTCTCTCTAACTCTCTCTTTCTCTTCTCTCCCTCCCTCCCTCCCTGACTCTCACTTCCCTCTCCTTCCCTCTCTCTCTCCCTCCTGACTCTCTCCTCTTCCCCTTCTCTCTCTCCGCCCTAAGATCTACAGCCAGTTTAATGTTGTTCCAGTATACATTAGTAGCGTAAATCAAGAGGCACCAAAAGCTCCTCATGGTTATTCGACTGGGCGTAATAGTGGCGTAATTATCCACTGATCCATTACGTGTGGCAGTTACGTATGGTGTGTGCAGGTGTCTAGGCTGAGGGTCGTACTGTGATAAAGTTGGTGGAGAGTTTTGGGGAAGTTTTTTAATGGTTGTTTGTTTGTCTGTG